AGAGTGGGACAGAGGGTAGATGGAGGGAAAGAGAGGAAGAGAGAGACTAAAAATATAAGAATCATGTTAAGTAAAAGGACTACATATTACAGGGATGAGAGAGAGAGAGAGAGAGAGACAGAGAGAGTGAGGGAGGGAGGGGGAGAGAGAGAAAGAGCGAGGGAGGGAGAGAGGAAGAGATGATGTGCTCTCTATTTGCTGTGTCACTGGTAATCAGACTATTGATTAATCTAAGCCTTCCTACCCAACACTGAGAGACGGAGAGTGCGGAGGAACAAAGAGATGGAGAGATAGGTAAAGGACGGGGGAGGGGAGGGGAGGAGATGAGAAGATGAAGGGAAGAGAGTGAGTGAGATTGTGGGGGTAGGGGTTCTGCACAGAATGGAGCACAGACAAAAGGCAGTTTCACATGTACGGTCTGTACTGTAAAGGGTTTAACTGATCTGTGTGCTGTTCTTCAGTCATTACTGATAAATCAATGAGGAAATAGATAATAATGTTTACATGCTGAGGCGTCAATACTCTTCTGCAACTGATCAATACTTCCAGTGCTTGCTTTAAGGAGTGGCTGCAGGCTTGCTCCCACTGATGAGCAGCTTAGGCATATAACTTTGCATCCTTCGTAGCCAAAAAAGCAAGGAAAATGATGTTAAAGGGGAACCCCACCAATTTTTGATTTTCGTTTGCATAATTCTATTGAGTAGTAAAATAAGTCATTCAAAGTGGTTTAAACAATATTTCCAGTGCTTGCTTTAAGGAGTGGCTGCAGGCTTGCTCACACTGATGAGCAGCTTGAACACATACTTTATATCAGTGCTTTGTAGCCACAAAAGCAAGAAAAATGATGTTAAAGGGGAACCCCACCAATTTTTCATAATTCTATAAAGTTGTAAAATAAGTAATTCAATTTCACCCACAATGACCAGTGAATCTGAGTTATATATAATGTTGGTAATAGTACAATAAAAGTAGTCCAAAAATTGTGTGTTCTTTTGGTGACTATTCGGCCTTACAACACCCTCCCTCCACCAAGAATGTATTTTCTTTAATGTTTTAGGTCAAAACACTATCTCAAACAACGTCTCAGGCATCAAGCAGCGTATTCATAACCATTTCATGTAATAACTTTCTCTGAAGGAGCTTTTAGAGGTATTAAAAGCTGTGGACGTCTGGTTCCTATCACCACCACTGTGAACAATTTTGACTCGGCAAGTTTCTTTACAACGGTACATTTCACATTAAAATCACTCTGAATGACTTTGATTACATGTTACCTATTTAATTATTTAATTAAAACCTATAAATTTAGAAAACTGAGTGGAAGTCCCCTTTGAGTAATCTCCTATAGACTTGCTTACAGACTTAATTAGACAAACTATCGCTTTAAATGGGACTCTGTGGTATAGTGCTGAAGACAGAGGTATATCAGAGTAGTGATTGAGATGCATAGTGGTGGTGGAGGCGGGGCAGGCGTGGGGGGTTACAGGCACACAGAGAGAGGAGGGGGGAGAGATGAGTGGAAACAGATGGAGGAACACCAGTGGCTCTCCGTGGAGGCATCCTGCACACAAGCCTTCCAGCTATATCGTCCCGGGAAAGGACAACAATTAATCCCGTCTGGAATGTCATCAAGAACGGAGGTTGGATGCCTATGGATGTGATGCTCGTTATTAACCCCTTGAACTTCTTAAATGCCTATTATTCATTTATTTCTGCCTTGTAAATGTTGCTGTGTGATGAATGTGACTGAACAAAGATGGAAATTTGTAGATGTGTATTTCATTTGTTACCTTTTCGACCAAATGCTTGAAAATGCATTAATAGAAACAGATGTCACACTACAATCACCTTTAATTTGTACTCTGATGAAACAATCAATAATAAACATTTCCATAGCGATTTGAATTGAATTCTGAATGTGTGCACACGCTTGCTCAGACTCTCCCAGTGCATCCAACAATAAAGGCAGCATGGAGCTTTTTTTATACAGTGACAGAAAACACAGTAGCACAGAAAACTCCAATTCCACATGCTGATCCAATTTACAGACCAACATGGACATGCATGCACACAGTCTGACCACTCTTGGGCCAGATTTTGATCAACAACATTATAGTCATATAGGATTAACGTTAATGCTTATTAATCAGTAACTACTATGACATATTCAGTATCTATTATGTAATATTCAGTATTTAGTATGAATTATTCAGTATCTACTATGTAATATTCAGTAACTAATATGAATTTAATGGTTCAATAATTACTACGAATTACTCATTATCTACTGTCAATCATTCTGTAACTACTATGAATTATTCAGAAACTATTATTATTATTAATTATTCAATAATTATTCAGCAACTACTATGATTTTTTTTTTTTTTAAGTATTTACTATAAATTATTCAGTAACTATGGTTACTGAACGTATGGTAATGCAGTTATGAGAGCGAGGAAGGGAAATCTGGACTTAAAAGGGTTAAACTGCTATGGAACATCAATTGTCCTGTCGAATGACATAGGTAGGGTTGGTGACCTTTGACCTCTGCATGTCAAAAGGTCAGAAAGCACACGCTGCACCTTCAGTCTGGACTCTTATTCACCCCCTCCCACCCCTCAGTCACACTGTCAGGCCACATTACACACCACATCCACTCCGGCTAATTATTTTACAAGATTCCCCAGGGTTACCGTGACAACCAGATGGGTTACAGGCGGCAAGCGTACCGAGAAACGACATGAGAAGAAGAGAGGGTGAGAGAAAATGGGGGGATGAAAAGAACATAGCAAGAGAGAGGAGGAAAAGAGGACAACAGAGGAATGAAACCAGGAGAGAGAGATAGAGAGAGAGTCAGATCAAAAAGAAAGAGATAGAGAAATAGAGAGAAATAAAGAAAGGGAGAGATCGAGAAAGACTGAAAAAGAGAGAGACAAATAAACTGATAGATAGGTAGGGCAGATAGAGACAGTGACAGAGGGAGTGAGAGGAGAGAGGGGGGGGAGAGTCAGATCAAAAAAAGAAATAGAAATAAAGAAAGGAAGAGATTGAGAAAGACTAAAAAAGAGAAAGATAGATAAACTGATAGGGTAGGTAGATAGATAGAGACAGTGACAGAGAGGGAAAGTGAGAGGAGAAAGAGAAACAGAAACAGAGTGAGAGAGTCAGATCTATCTTCTGAGAGTCAGAAATATGGAAAGGGAGAGACTGAGAAAGACTGAAAAAGAGAAACAGACATAGATCGATAGATAGATAGATAGAGACAGTGATAGAGAGAGAGAGGGAGGAAAAAGTAGAGAAAGAGAAAGCAGAAAGGAAAGAGAGAAAGAGGAGACTCTCAATGTCAACCCTGTGACGTGCCCAATTTTTCACTCGAACTGAGAAAACAAGACTTTCAATGCTGTGAACTGATGTGTTTCCCGGATAAAGTTCTCTCTCTCTCTCTCTCTCTCTCTTTTTTGGTGATCAGTGGCTCAATGAAAAGTCACCTTGGCTTCTTCAGAGCACTTTCAGCAGACAAACTCATTGAGCTTCTCTCTCTCGACTAACAATGATCTACTGCTCGCTGTAGACGGCTTCAATGCAGACAGATTGTCACTGAGTAAGCTCTATATAATGAGCCAAAATAATGCATGCGTTCTTTTCACACTTACTCAAATACCATCTGGGTTAGGCTATACTTGACGAAATATGTTGATGAAAAATGTGGATGCTGATGGGGAGAAAGTGGGCTATATTGATGGCATTGTTGCTGTTTACAAAGCACAAATTACAAGTTATTCAGGCTGGAAGGAAACCTCAACCTCAGGCTCAAAATTCAATCAATATCTGAAAAACAAACACTCCTGTGCACAGAAGCAGTTTGGTTACAGAAACTGAAACAGTTTGTTTGCTTCTCCTGCTGCTAATGCACCACATTTGACCACTTTTACACCAGATCAATGATAAATGGAAAATAATATCTAGCTTGATTCTACACCAGGTGATTCTACACCTGATAAATAACCATAGTAAAGCCCTTGACCCTCATAAGTCCCCCGTCGTGTACACGCCTCTTCTTGTATTTCGTTTAATCATTACTCACTTCTATCTCATTGAAACAAGAGGAGAAATTCAGTTGAAAGTGCAGATTCTAAACTTTCATTCCATACCACATCTGTGTCTGTGAGCAGAAGATATAATAATAATAATAATAATAATAATAATAATATGAGATTCCAGTCTGTCAATAAAGACTGTTAACTGGGAAACACTTTAACTGGAAAGTAAACTTTAATTTTGTTGATACTTAAGATACCGTCGCTGTCCAAAGAAAAACATGTATCTCAATTTTTGTCAATTTTAAGTTTTTTTGCATCATTTCAGCACAGTGGCTCTCTTTTACAACATGTGAAAATTTCATGATAATTGGACCAATAGCAATGCTCTAAAATTACTTAGAATAAAATATCTTTACACTAACTTACATTGAAAGCAAAGAATGGCCAATTTGGAGATACTTGTTTTTTTTTTTTGGACAGTGATGATATATTAAGTATCAACAAAACTTTGTTTAATTCACCTTAATTTTCCCTAAACCTGGCCCTAACTCTAACCTACCTTCAAGCCAAAACCCAAACTTAGGCCTTAAGTTGGGCCTAACTCTATACCTGGTCCATATCCATATATACAGTAAAACTGTAGAGAATCAAGTTTCACCATATAGTTTGCTAATATCTTGAACATCTGTAGATTATCTATACTATAGGGGACTATCCTAATAAAGTGAGACTGCTAACTCACATCAGATACAATTCTATACATAATTACTATGTACTACATGTAATCACACACAAATAATTATTTAATGTAAATCAAATGACTAGTAACACTGTAATTCTAAGGGTTAAATATGAAGCCCTTAACTACTTGATTCCTGTGTAGCCCCAAGCACAGATTTAGGGTCATGTCTTTGAGTATTTGGTCATGTTTTTGAACTACCGAATGAAGGCCACTCTTACCGAAGTGTTCTGGCACTGGATGCAGGAGCTGTTGAAGCGGACAGCCGGGATGCGCTGGACTTTTCCCTGGATGTTGAACACACATTCGTAGTTCTTTTGACCCGACTGTGGCTGGGGCAGGTTCCGAGCTCGCAGCGTGATTGGCCGAACGATTCCCGCTGGAACCAGGATGTCGCTGCTGTGCAGAATCTGGGGGCAGCCCTGAAAATGACCAAAGTAGATGAAATCAGGAGAGGTCATCACTCTAAACTAAGATGCAAAAACAGCCCGTTTTGAATTTATTGTTTCTGTGATGTCACAAAAACAAACACATTTACATATATCCACCTACTCATACCTACCTACTCATAAATGGTAATGTGAGAAAGAATTATGACAAGTTTTGGTACCCAAAACTACACAAATGTAGGCTATGTGCCCTTTAAGTTACATTAAACATAAGCCCTGTTTACATGCAGGCTAATATGTTAATAATCCGACTAATAGCTCAATCGGAATAGAATACGTCCATGTATACAACTTACTCAGAATAGACTAGTCTGATTGAGGCCATTCGGAATACAATTTCTATCCGATTGATTGAGGTGGGTAATCCTGTAAATAATCTGTTAAATAGAAGAATAATAGCCTTTACATCCATTACATTCCCAATTGGAAAGTTTAAGTCCATTCTGTATGTGTGTCCGGGTCATAGTAAAAGTTTATAACGTTTAACATGGCGGGAGCAGAAACTGGTCTGCAGAGGAGACGAAGTTTATGCTCTGAGCTTTAAAAGACGGTGGTGGGACGGGCATCCAGCTTATGACGTCTTCCTGTCGGCCTTCTTTGATAAGTACACGTGAAGCATGTTTTCCTCAGTCTGACATCATTCAAAGCAAATAAAAACAAGCACTGCTCACTGCTGCTCGTCTCACTCTGACTGGACTCACGTGATGCTCGTGGTCATGGTAACGTCTACACTAAGTGGTGCTCTATGCATGCGCGTAATTTTGGAGCAGATTACTTGTAGTGAGCATGTAAACTGAGATTTTCAATTAAATTGCTGAGTAGAGTGAGCATATAAACACCTCAGTCTTATATCAGATCTATAATCAGAATGTATTCAATCGGACTGGCGAAAGTCTTTGCATGTAAACACAGCCATTGAGACTGTTTTTCCCTCCTACAGAGTTACAATTTTGGAAATAAGAGGTTTTGTTATGCCAGTGATGAAATGTTAATGCTCATGTATGCATTTCTAGCATACTGTCACAAACCGGACCAGCTTTCAAAGCAGTCACAGTAAAGAGCCCTGAATCGACCCACTGATAAACATTTGGACTCGTCAGGCTTTCAAGACTCTGTGCTTTAAGAAGTACTACTCCACTCCACTGTTAAGAAACACTTCCAGTCTGCTGGACTGAGAAGAGTGACTAACGCCTGTTCACAAGGAACTCTTCCTAGCGTTCACACATATCATTCACACACAGGGCCAGATGTGTGAGGAGCGAGCAGGAGGTCGTTAGAGGAGCAATGCCTAAAAAAGGCAGTACAAAAGGAGGTTAAAAAGCCCATTACACAGCTGCTGCGTCCGTCTCCAGTTTTACGAGCCGCGGGTTTTCCTCGCCGCATCACACTGATGAAGCGGTAAATGAATATCTTCCTCAGCCCTGCCCGTCAGCCGGCGCTGGCGCAATCATTACAGCCCCGCCTGGCTGGAACCGATCGCAGCATTCATCAAAGCCACTGGTATTGACACCTCCCCTAATAACACATGGAGCCCCACCATACTGACGAGAATTATTACCACAGCTCAGATGCGGGGAGATGTCTTTTCATAGAGGACGGCACAAACGTGACTAAGATCCTGACAGGAAGACCACGCCCAAAACTGCTAACATGAGAAACAATGAGTGAACGTATTAGCATGATGCTAACTGCACGCTACTAGATTTCAGTGGCAGAAGTAACTTTATAGCCCCTGTGGGGACAGCGATGGGAACAAACAACAACAAAGGCCTAAATCATGGCTGTTTTCACACTAAAGCCCTATTCAGACGGGATTACTTTTCCTCGGGGAGGGCTTAAGGCTGTTTTCACACCTACTTCGTTTGCTGAAGTCTGAACCAGAGTTTGGTATCTTCTTCTTTTGGTTAAAAGTGCACCAAATTATACACCCGAGTGCTGTTTATTGATCAGAAATTTTGCAGGGATACAAGTGCTCTGTTACTCTCTACATTGCAGAAAAATAGAGCTGCATAACCCTTGTGTGGTGTTCAGGTCTGTGGGACCCATTTTCAATGTTTACCAAAAGAAAAAAGAATGTGATTTATTATTATTTCAACCCCAGGTTCCTTGGCCTTTTCTCATTTTCTGTGAAGAACACATGAAATAACCCATTTTCAGTGCCTTCACACTGTTCACCCCCTACACATTTATATTACACGTGTGGTGTTGGGCTGAACTCGTGGGGAATAAAAGTGTGGAGGTGCTGTGTCCTTCACTCTGTTCTCCTCCTACATGGCCTGCTGTTAGTGTCTGTGTGTGTGTGTGTGTGTTTGTATATGTGTGTGTGAGTGTGTGAGTGTGGTCAGGACAGGCTGCTGACTGGCTACAGCTGCTTAAGGAGAACCCTACGCTGGACACTTGTGATATTTTAAACATCTGGTATTTTTGCATACATTTTTGTTTTAAATCAAACTGTATTGATTCAAAAACACAATAATGCGGTGGGTCCACCAGACCACTGAGTAACAAAAACATCACCACACAAGGGTTAATGTCTATACGTATCGCAGTCAAAGCAACAAAACCAAACCTTCTTGATATTTGCTTCTTTATGGCTGGTCAATGTCAATGTGAATGTAAGCAATTAGGTTGCTGATGCAATAAGTTCTGTGGTCCGTGTGCCAAAATTAAACGCATTGCTTCGCAATTTTTTTATTGCTGGTGTGTCGTTGATAGCAGCAGCTCATTCTGTAAGAACAATTCGAGTATCTGTGAAGAGTCAGACATAAAAACAGGCAGAATACTTGGACAGTGCAGCGCTGATATGCTTCTAGAAGAAGCAGAACTAGAGTTCAGGTTTTTGTGACATTGTATGTTTTCTATTTGATTTTTTGGTTTCACATTGCAACAGTTAAAGTGCACCATATTACACACTTCTGTATTGTTGATTGGTTAGAAATGTGGTTTGGGATACATGCGCTGTTTCTCTTTCACATCAGAGCCAAACAGAATATCAAATCAGAGATGCTTTATATACGTGAATCACAAAGCATTAAAAGAAACTTTACTTGATTTATGTGTCTTTACAATGGAATGATTTGTCAATTTGAACCAGTCATGTTGCTGATATTTGGCGATTCATGACCCAAAATCAAATGCATTGCTTTGCAGTTATTCTATTGCTCGTCTGCCGTTATTACCAGGCAGCTAATGCTTCTGGGGTGACATGAGCATCTGTCAAGAGTCAGAAGTTTAACCAGGCAGATTATGTGAAAAGTACAGCGCTGACGCTGCTAGAAGAAGAGAAATGCATGCCCTGATGTTCCTTCATATGGACCATTGTAAAAATTTGTTCCCACCAGCAGAAAACTGAACCTGGGTTCACTTGGAAGTGGGTCCGGCAATATTTGGTGCAGACCAGAGTACGTGTGGAGTGTTCACACCTGTCAAAATAGACAGAACTAAAGAAATTGGTCCGGTCCAAATAAAGAAGATGTGAAAGCGCCCTTAAATTCAAAAGAGAGCCCATGCTGAACCATCACACTTAAAAAAAACAAAAAAACGTCAAACACTGAATTTAATTTCCATTGGAATAAAAATCGTGAAAACATAAAAACATGACATCAACACAGTTTTGTCTTTCACATAATTTTGGTAGTAACTGTGCTTATGTAATATATTTTACTTGGAAACTTGGAAATCTTATATGGAAATAATATATACATGTGTATCAAGTGTATTCAGTACGTATTTTTAAAGTGTATAAAGCCCAACCCAAATGCTTACGCTGCACAAAATGATGTTAAATTCAAATGAATTCTTCATAAGGCTTTCTATGTTTATCAGCTGTACACTACAAAGATCCAAATTACTAACATCTCATCTGGGTTTCTAGCTCTTCATAAGGATTTTTAAAATAATTTCTGCATAATCAATTCCTTATGATGTAAACAAAGTCATCCAGAGTGGTTTAATGTGAAATGCTCCATTCTAGAGAAACTTACAAGGTCAGAATTTATATTTATAGTGGTGGTGAAGGGAACCAGATGTCTGAAGACTTTTAAGCCTCTAAAAGCTCCCTCACAGAAAGTTATTGCATGAAATGGTTATGAATATTCTGCCTGAGGTCTGAGACACTGTTTTTTTTTAAATCCATTCACGGTGGAGAGGCAGGGTATATGCAGGGTGTCGTAAGGCAAATTAGCCCCCCAAAAAAACTTGTTTTGTCCAGATTTAGTGCTTTTTCACAATCAACATTACATATAAAAGTTCAGAAGACACATGTAGCTTCACTGGCCACTTCAGATAGCAAATAAAGCAGCTATTTTGGTGTTGTAGACATGGCGACTCCTGGTTCCTATCACCACCACTATAAAAAGTCTGTAAGGTTCTCTACAATTAACTATGTCACACCAAACCACCCTGAACGACTTTGTTTACATCTAAACCATTAATTTTTTTTCAATATTGAAACATATTCAATATTGAGAAAAGTCATTCCTCCAAAGATCACAGTATCTCCTGAGCAAAAACGGGGAAACTTATGTATGTATGTAGGAGTATCACCAGTAGGCCTGTTTACATTCCCTGGCCAAGAAAACAGCCTGTCTGCCCTGAAAAGCATGCAAGACTCGTTTGCACTGAGTTACAGCCACTCACTAGCACCACCAGGTGGTCAAAAACTCCTTTGGGGGTCTTTAAGAAGGCCCCATAAAACCTGACAACCTTCACAATACAGAGGGCATTTTCGACAAAGCCGGAGAAGGCCATTTTACACCGCGTCCCCTTCGTCCTCTCTGCCACAGCTGGGCATTAGAGTACATTTAGCGTGATCTGTTATCTATTTAACACTGAACAATAATCAAGGAGGCTGTAAAAGCAATTTGCCAGCACAGGAGCCATAAATCAGAATGCTGGCCTGTACAGAAGCTGCCCGGCTCTGCTGCTACTGCTGACCCCCCCCCACACGCGCCACACTGCCGTGAGTTTAACAA